ATCGCCGTTTGGTCAGGAAAGATGCTGCTTCCGCACCCTTTTTAACAGGAACCTATACGTTTTACCAATATAACGTACCGCATAAGAGCATGTGAGGACGTAAATTGCATATTGAAGAAATCCGGACCGACAGCTTATTCTTACATCTGGGAGAAAGAGCGGAGTGCCTGGGAAAATCGGTCATCTTGGTTGCCGGGTACGTGCGCGCGAAATGGAATTATGAAAAATAGTTTTTGTTCAATCGTCGATACGTCTGTTTTTGGGAGATGTTCTTCTATTTATCTTAAACTTATTTATAAAGTCATTTTCTCAGAGGGTGCTTTGTATGACAGTTCTACCATTGTTGCCAACTATGCCCACTGTGTGCTCCACAGCAGGGTGAGAGCAAGGACGGCGACATGAGCGTGAGTTAGCTTGAAGTGATGGTAGACTTTCGTCGCACCTATTGCACCCTCTCGTATTCCATACATGCCCTGTGTCGAGACATGGTCAAGAAGACCGGAGGTGGGAGAGGAATCAGGTGACTGGCATGACGTTAACCTATACCTGGGCTTACCACCACACCACCTGGTCCATAGCAAACACTAACCAGGATTTTGAACAACAAGAGAAGGGGGCGACTCGGATCCCACGGAGTGGGAGTGCCATAGAGGCCACATTGAGGAACCACTTCGGCCTGAATCTCAGTCCACCAGTCGGACACTCCGCATGCGCAAACACTGGGTTGACTGCACGGTGTGAGTTCTATCGTCAGTTGGTAACCTTCCAAGTCACGGCGCCCAACACACAGTGATTGTCTCAGGCTCAGCTAACACCTACAGCAAATGAGCCCCATGGAGAAGGTATGCCGAGGCGCCAGCCTATCTTGTCTTTACCTACTTGTTCCTTATTCTTGGACTTACTGGTTGTTTCACTGAATGGGAGGAAGACAACACAATGCGACGCGCTCGGCATCTGTTAGATTGTCAGGTCGTTTGACATTTGATTGTTAATTTTTTCATGACTCTCGTCTTATCCTGGTTTCGATAGTCTGGGATTGACAGTTGCGTCCTTGGCGCTCGCAACAGTGGTGACCTTTTGACGTTTGCGCTTATACCTTTATTCTGTTGACTTTGCCAATAGAAGCGAAGAGCCGAGTCCCAGGAAGTAGTCTTGAAGAAGGAGACACGATCGCCGGGACAAGAGCTTTATTAGCCTGACGTTTCGGATTCCTGCTCGAATCCATCATCAGAGACATAAGCAGATAAGGGTGGTTCATGCACATGTGGCTGCAGTATTTATAGGATGCAGTAGCCATGCCACCGCATACCTATGAATGTTCACGGCTCCCTCCCCTTCATCAGGGATCGTTGCACGTGGCGTGATGACCGTCATTCGCGTCGTTAATTGCTGCAATTTCATCACGCGCGTCGGATGTTGGTGTGATGATTGCTCGACCATCAACCGCGTGAGCCGGGAGCTGCTTGAGTCATGGTTCACTGGCCCCCAGTCTATTAACAAGTGCAATGATCTTCCCATTCAATACAGCGTGCTGAGACTTCGTCTAGGCGGAGAAATTGGCCACGCGGGGAGCGCCCTAATGAACACTCTTCCCAACACCCGGGTCAGCGGGTCAGATGGTCGAGCAATCATCACACCAACATCCGACGCGCGTGATGAAATTGCAGCAATTAACGACGCGAATGACGGTCATCACGCCACGTGCAACGATCCCTGATGAAGGGGAGGGAGCCGTGAACATTCATAGGTATGCGGTGGCATGGCTACTGCATCCTATAAATACTGCAGCCACATGTGCATGAACCACCCTTATCTGCTTATGTCTCTGATGATGGATTCGAGCAGGAATCCGAAACGTCAGGCTAATAAAGCTCTTGTCCCGGCGATCGTGTCTCCTTCTTCTGTTGACTTTCTTTTTGCGTACAGTCCGTTTACCTTGCTTCTTTCTACCATCATGACCTCTACGGATTCCAACGATGCCAGTACTTCTGTCAGTGGACTTCTTTCGTCTCTCGCAGACTTTAGGTAACATGCGCCAGAACTTTATTTTTTCCTTATCGAGGCGACATTTCACTCCACCAAGATAACACGAGGAACAGACAAATATTGCAAGTTGTTCGAGGCCCTTCCTCCCACCATTCTTTCCCAAGTGCAGACGTTTTTACGAGATTCCTCGACTGATGTTCCGTACACGAAGTTAAGGGCTGAACTCCTTCGCCTGACATCAGTCTCGAGTCGGCAGCGTTATCACGCACTGGTAAAAGAAGGGGCCTTAGGTTATCGCAAGCCGTCTGAACTCTTGCGTCGTATGCGCTCTCTCGTTGGGAATATGGCCATCGACGACAAGTTCTTTAAAGAGATGTTTTTAGAACGTGACATCGGTACAAACAATCTTGACCTCCGGCTGAGATGACCTAGACATGTCAAGGCTAGCGGAAATGGCCGACCCTATGATGAAGGTTGAGCGTTTGTCATCCCCGAAGATTGCTCAGGTTTCCCAGCCTCTCACCGTGTCCATCTCTGACCTGGCTAAATAAAAGACACAGCTTACCCAGTTTTCGGCGACTGTTGCCGCTTTGCAGCTGCGCCGATCCGCCGGTCCCTCTCGACGTTCCTTTGGCCGTGACCGTCGTTGTTCCCGCTCTCGCACCAGGACCGCAAACCTATGCTGGTATCATGTCAACTATGGCGATAAGGCGCGGCGCTGTGTCCCACCCTGCTCCTTCAAGTCCACGCAGGGAAACTCCTTGGCCGGAGAGTAAATGCGGCCGAGCGCTCTCGCAACTCTACTGGTCGCACCTTTTTCATCAGTGATCACACTAGTGGCAGGCGTTTTTCAGTCGACAATAAAGTTCAAATTAGTGTTATCCCCCCCACGCCAGCCGACCGACGTTGCCCAAGCCATGGTCTTTTCCTTCAAGCCGTAAACTCATCTCCCATTACAACCTTTGGATTTCGATCCCTCTCCCTGGATGTCCGTCTCAGGCGATTATTCCCCTGGATATTTGTGGTGGCTGATGTTCCCACGGCCATCCTTGGTGCTGATTTTTTGGCCGCCATTGACCTTCTGGTGGATTGCAGGCAACTTCGCCTCCATGGTCGCGCAACTACCCTCACCGTCAAAGGATTTCCTCCATCCTCAGCATCTAACCATCTATCCGTCCTTGACCCAAGCCCTGACTGTCCATTTCGTAGACTTAGAAAAATATCCTATTCTCACTAAGCCCCATTTTTCTGGCACCTCATTGCCCAATGATATTGTTCATCACATAAAACGACTGGTCCTCCCTTTTTTCTCTCGTCCCCGCCGTCTTGCTCCCGCGCGTCTTGCGGCTGCTGGAACTGAATTTGACCACATGCTGCAATTAGGGATTATTCGACAGTCTGACAGTTCGTGGGCATCTCCTTTGCACATGGTTTCTAAACCAGATACGGATGATTGGCGTCCTTGTGGCGATTATAGATTCCTAAACAATATCACTATGTCCGATCGGTATCCGGTTCCTCATCTGCAGGACTTTGCCGGAGCAAAACCGTTTTCTCTAAGATTGATTTGGCGCGGGCTTTTCATCAAACTCCGATTGCGGCTGAGGACATTCCCAAAACGGCAGTGACGAATCCTTTTGGCTTGTTTGAGTTCCTTCGTATGCCATTTGGCCTCAGAAATGCGTCACAGACTTTCCAACGTTTCATTGACCGTCTTTTACGGGGCCATTCATTTGTTTATTCATATATTCATATTGACCCAACTGTGAAAAACTCGGTGTCTCGGTGGTATTCGAACCCACGCAGTAAGGAGAAGGCTTTAGCGCAGCCAACGCTCTAACCACCTGAGCTACGAGGCCCTGCCGGACGACACGAGTTTAATCACATTTGGGTCAAGTTACCCGCCCAACCTACTGCAACGTCTGGAACCCACCAAATCTGATACAGTAAGTTGACTGCCCAAGCAGGATTTCCTAAGTAATTCACCTAGAATCCACCAGATGACTACCAGGCTCGCGTTATTCATTGATATTTTGGCAGACTTTGAATAATTCATATTGACCCATATATATTGACGATATCCTTGTCGCCAGTCGAGATGTCGAGGAACATCTCCAACACTTTACCCTGCTTTTCGGCCGATTTCAGCAGTTTGGTGTCACCCTGTATCCTGCCAAATTTGTCGTAGGAGCCACTTCTGATGAGTTCTTAGGTCACTTGATAAACTCAAACGGCATTCGGCCTCCTCTCTCTAAGGTTGCCGCCATTCGGGACTTTGCACTCCCTACCTCGAAACGTCAGTTGTAACGGTTCCTTGGTATGGTGAACTTTTATCGTCGATTTCTCCCGAACTGTGCCGATACCATCCTACCTCTGATCAGTCTCCTCTCAGGTTCCAAGCGCACCTTTGATCTTACACCAGCAGCACTCACATCATTTGAGCAGGTAAACAGCCCTTTTAGCTGAGGCCACCCTCCTGACTCACTTTCATGCTTATGCACCCACATCTCTGATGGTCGATGCCTCCAATGTTGCTGTTGGCGCGGTTCTTCAACAAAGTCTGCCAGATTCTACCGTGCTTTGGCTCTCTTCTCCAGGAAACTATCCAAGACCGAAATCCGCTACAGCACATTCGGATGTGAACTTCTCGCCGTTTATCTTTCCGTAAGGAACTTCCGGCATTTACTCGAAGGTCGATAGTTCACAATTTTCACAGATCATAAGCCACACACGTTTGCTATGCATTCCCACTCTGACAAACTAAACCCCCGGGAGATCCGCCACCAGGACTACATCTCCCAGTTTACCTCAGATATCCGCCACATCGACGGGTCACGCAACGAGGTGGCTGACGCACTGTCCAGGCCCTCCATCGCTCATCTTCAGCTTTCACCCGGGATAGACCTCGCTGAGATGGCCGCTGAACAACGCCGTGTCGGTCCACCCTGTGATGAGGATGTTTCCGGACTCCATCTTCAGGAACTACCACTGACAACTGGCAACAGCACCATTTTATGCGACGTAGCCACCCCTTTCCATCGTCCATTTGTGCCACCATTTCTCCGCCGCAAAGTTTTCTCCTCCCTGCACACTCTCTCTCACCCTGGGAGTCGAGCAATCGACAAGCTGGTTTCCGACCGCTTCGTCTGGCCTGGATGCACAAGGACCTCAAAGCATGGACACGGGCTTGTATTGCCTGTCAACGAAGTACGATCCAGCGGCACAACAAGGCCCCCATTGGCACCTTCCCCGGCCCTGGTGCATGGTTCAGCCACGTTCACCGGGACATTGTAAGCCCCCTGGCTCTGTCCAATGGTTGTTCCTATCTCTTCACCTGTGTGGGCCGGTCCACTCGGTGGCCTGAAGCAATTCCCCTGCCTGACATTGCTGTTCCAACGATGGTCAAGGTTGTTCTCAGTCGTTGGGTTGCTATCTTTGGTGCACCCTCCACAATCACGACTGACCGTGGTGTCCAGTTTCAGTCCAACCTCTTCCAGTCTTTCCTCTCCTTTTTAGGCTGTACCCGCATCCGGACGACAGCCTATCATCCGGCTGCTAACGAGATGGTCGAGCGGTTTCACCGCCAGCTGAAGGCCTCCCTACGTGCCGCGGCCGATCTGGAGAACAGGACAGACCGCCTTCCCCTGGTCCTCTTGGGCATCCGCTCGGCTCTCAAGCCGGGCCTTGACTGTTCCGCAGCTGACTTAATGTTCGGCGCCACCGTCCGTCTCCCCGGTGAGATGGTCTCGCCAACCCTGCAAGGTGCAGTTGAGGATCCCACCAACCTCCCGCATCGCCTCCGGCAGTTTATGCGGACACTTTCTCCGGTTCCTTCCAGGTCCTCCGCCTCTCCTTATCTCGAGAAGGACTTGGCAGCGTGCTCTCACGTCTACCTTTGATGTGATCGAGTCCGCCGGCCTCTGGAACCGCCCTATGACGGCCCATTTCGGGTGCTCTCTCGGGGGACGAAGACTTTCCGCATTCAACTCGACAATCGTGAGGAGGTCGTGAGTGTGGACCGCCTCAAGGCTACCGTCTCTGACACTCCTCCGGATGAGCCCGGTGGTCCTCTACCTGCTGCTCCCTCACCTGCAGCCTCACTTCTACCGTCTCGTATTTTCCCACTGCCCTCCTGTCCGCTACCTCCGACTGCCACCACTAACTCCAACACTTTCGCCACCAGATGTATTCACTCTTCTACGGACCCTGTATATATCACTCGCAGTGGTCATCACGTACACTTTATTGATCGGTTGGTCATTCATTTCTTTTAGACTTGTATATATCCTTCGGCGTCGTTTTCGCCGACTTCCGGTCACGGAGGGAGGTACTGTGCCAAAGCGCCAGGCTATCTTGTCTTAACCTACCTGTTCCTCATTCTTGAACTTACTGATTGTTTAACTGAATGGAAGGAAGACAACACAATGCGACGCGCTCGGCATCTGTTAGATTGTCAGGTCGTTTGACATTTGATTGTTAATCCTTTCATGACTCTCGTCTTACCCTGATATCCATAGTCTGGGATTGACAGTTGTGTCCTTAGCGCTCACAACGCAGGACCAGGGGACTACACTTCCCACTTACGTGGTTGGTGCCGATAACGTGCTTGATTTGTGTGATATTGACTGTGGTGGTGGGCGGCGTCCGTGTTGGCGCGGAGAGATGTAATGGTATGATGCAGATGTCGGTGTTCTACCACAGGTTTTCATGAAGACGCATGTCGCCTAGTGCGCGCATGCGGCGAATGAATGTGCGTGAGTGATGGCAGTAGTTGAGGCGATGATGTCTAATGTGCGTTGGTCCTCAAGACACTGAGTCAGCAGTTTCTGTGCGACGGATTCACAAGTAACCGACCAGACCGATACGTGGGGTAAATGTGATATGACAGTGTGGGCAGGATGGGTCAAGAGTCGGTTAACGTTGCGATGCTACTAATGGTGGACGCTCTCGTAGAAGGAAAGTTGGTCGAGCTGGGAACAGGAAGGATGTTTACTATGCATATTGTGTTAGGTGCGTCGATACTGCGATAAATTCCGCTGCTTTGGATACGCATGTGACGGCATAGGCCCATGCAGTGTGTTAATGCGCGCGGACAGTGTGAATAATGGTAGAGGAGGACGTTCACCTA